ATAAAAATTAAATTTTTAATAAAATAAATTATTTTTAGTAAATTATTTAAAAAAATATAAACATAAAACTTAATATGAAATCTGATATTTAATATTTATTAAAAATGAGTATTGCAATTAAAAAAAAATAACATAATTGAGTTATAATTAAATTTCTTATAATGCAATTAAGTTGCAATTCAATTAAAATTTAAAAATAATTATAGTGACTATCTTTAATATTTATATCATAAACTTTGATTATTTTTTATTTAAAATAATTTATTTATTAAAAATTCTATATAATAAATATTAAGATTATAAGTAATTAAACATTATTTAAAAATATTAGATATTATAAACTAACTTATTTTAAATTTATTAATATTTTAAATATAATTATATTTGAAATAGACATTTTCAAATTAATTCAATTCCAATTATTTAAATATTTTTTAATTAGATTTATTCAATTTTATTAAATAAAATTTAAGTATTTACATATTCTTTAAATATATCATTATCTACAAATCTTTTAATATCTACTATACTAATATTACTTAATTAATATTTTATACATCTTTAATAATAAAATATAATATAATATTTATTAACATACATAATTAATTTTAACAATAATAGAATTAGATTATTTATCTTGTATTACATATAGGTTGATTGCTAGAAAAATCAAATTCTGGAAATTTTTTAACGAAATTGAGATTTTTATTGCATTTTAGTTTTTGAAGTTATTTGATTAAAATGCATTAAGCTCTTAATTTTAGTCAAAAATTTCTCAGAACCTGATATTCCTAGAAATCCTTCCATATTGTGATTCTTTTTTATGATGACAAATGCGTACTAAAAAATTATTCAATCTTAAATAGTCTTACAAAAATTATCTTTAATTCAAATAACCAGTATTGCATCAATTAAACTAGATCCAGAAATAGCATAAGCTTATTTATGTATAAAAAGTTGAATATCTAATAAATTAGAAAAATAATAAACAAATTTCACGCAAATAAAATTATTAAATATAAAGGAATTCACAATTATTAATTGTTGATTTTACAATAGTGATTTTATATAAAAATAATATATTAATTAAATAATAATATAATAAGATCGGTTATTTAGAACCGGTTTAAATTAACCAATATAATCAGTTATTAGAATTGGTTTAAAGAACCGGACTATATGATTATCACGAATAAGCCTTATGATATGTTTCCTTTTGACTTCAATTGGCAACAATAAAGTAAAGTCTTTATCCAATTTCGCAATTGCAACTTTATGGCAATTGAAGTCAGGTATACCGGCGGTTTTGGTATCTCGTCTTGTATACTCCATTAAGTCTTTATCCAATTTCGCAATTGCAACTTTATGGCAATTGAAGTCAGGTATACCGGCGGTTTTGGTATCTCGTCTTGTATACTCCATTAAGTCTTTATCCAATTTCGCAATTGCAACTTTATGGCAATTGAAGTCAGGTATACCGGCGGTTTTGGTATCTCGTCTTGTATACTCCATTAAGTCTTTATCCAATTTCGCAATTGCAACTTTATGGCAATTGAAGTCAGGTATACCGGCGGTTTTGGTATCTCGTCT